ACTACTTCCTGGTGTATGAATTACAAGAAGAGAACAAAATGGTCTGGCAATCATTTCAGTTCATTCGCTATACTCTGGAGCTAGACTGAAACTAGTTTCTATTGTTTAAGCCTTCCCTTTGATTCTGTAAGTTCCGGCCTATGTAGCCTTCCAACCACTGCTCATTTTGTTCAACAATTCATGGTTTTAATCATTACAGAGATTGAAAAATCTACCCTAAAGTTCATTTGGAAACACAAGAGACTTCAAATAGCCAAGGCAATACTCAGCAAAAAGATTAATGCTGGAGGCATCACAATATACAACTTCAAACTATCAATTACAAAGCAATAGCAATAAAACAGCATGGTACTGGCACAAAACGACATGAGACCAGTGGAACAGAATAGAGGACCCAGTATGAATCCACACGCTATGCCCACCTTATTTTTGAGAAAGGTGCCAAAAATATACAATGGAGAAAAGACAGCCTCTTCAACAAATGTTGCTGGGAAAAGTGGTTATCCATCTGCAAAAAAATGAAACTAGATCCATGTTTATCACCCTAATTCTAGTATCAACTCAAAATGGACAAAGACCTTAATATCAGACCAAAACTCTGAAGTTAGTACAGGAACAGCAGGAATACTCTAGAAGTAATAGGTATAGGCAAGGACTTCCTCAGTAGAACCCCAGCAACTCAGCAACTAAGAGAAGATGGATGGACAAATGGACTTCATAAAAATTAAAAAGCTTCACAACAAGAAATGGTCTCTAAACTGAAGAGACCACCCACAGAGTGGGAGAAAATATTTCCAGCTATACATCAAAAGACTGATAACCAGACTATAGGGAACTTAAACAACAAACTCTCCTAAATCAATGAACCATTAGAAATGGGCAACTGAACTAAACAGAACTTTCTCAAAAGAGAAACTCAATGGCAAAAAAACATATAAAAAATGCTCACCATCTGTAGCCATAAAGGAAATGCAAATCAAAACCACACTAAGATTCCACTTCACCCCTGTTAGAATAGCCATCATCAAAAACACCACTAACAACAGGTATTGGCGAGGATGTGGGGGAAAAGGACCTCGTACACTGCTGGTGGGAACACAACTAGTGTAACCACTCTGGAAATAATATGGAGGCTTCTTAAAAATCTGCCATATAATCCAGCAATCCCAGTCCTAGGGATATACCCAAAGGAACGAGACACAGGTTACTCCAGAAGCACCTGCACACCCATGTTTATTGCAGCGCTATTCACAATAACCAAGTTATGGAAACAGCCAAGATGCCCCACTACTGACGAATGGATCAAGAAAATATGGTACTTATACACAATGGAGTATTACTCAGTCATGAAGAAGGAATGAAATCTTTTATCTCAAGTAAATGATGGAAACTGGGAGACACCATTCTGAGCCCGGTTAGCCAGGCTCAGAAGACCAATACTCATTTGTTCTCTCTCATATGCAGACTTAGATCTAGGGCAAATACAGCAATGTGGTTAGACTTGGGTACATTGCTAGGAGAGCACAATGGATGTATGGGGATAGTGGAAACCTAAAACATGAAAGGTCTGTATTAGTAGAGCTAATACGAAACCTTAAAGCGACAAGTTCATATGGAAGGGAATCAGGAACTAGTGAAAGGTCAGTAGAGATGAATCAACTTGGGTTGTACACACCTGTGCATGCAAGCAATGCTAGGAATCTCTCTATATAGCTATCCTTATCTTGACTAGCAAAACACTTTGTTTTTCTTATTATTGCTTATGTCTTCTCTTCACAAAATGGAGAAAAGGCAGAAATTCTGCTGGAAGTAAGGGGGGGAGCAGGGGAAGAAATGGCCCAAACAATGTATGCACATGTGAATAAATGAGTAAAAAATTAAAAAAAAAACAATTCATGGTCTTCATTTTTGTACTTGTGCAGCAAAAAGTTGATTCTCAACTTCAATTCAATTGGTCTGCTCCTTCTTTCTTGATAGCCTCTCTTCACTTGGCTTCCCAGACATGCCATTGCTAGTTTTCCTCTTCCTCTATTATCCTTCCTACTCATTCTCTCCTACCTGCCTGCTTGGCAAAGAAATTTCACTTTCAAGGCTGTTTCTGAGGCACCTTTCTTTGCAAACAGGCTTCTCCTTCCAGGCAGTCATTTTCTGGCTCATATTTTCAATTAACCTTCTAAATGCTTATGACTCATAGGTCCAGCCCTTCTCCACTGAACACCAGGATAAGCACCCAAAGACTCCTATTCAACACTGTCACTTGGGAAACTCAAAGTCAACAGGTCCCAAATTGACCTTATGATCTCCATCAAGCCTACCACCCTTGCCCCATAAAACAGCTAGTCCTTTTTGAGCAACACCTGTCTCAATGAATCTACTTAGCCAATGAAACCATAAATCAAGAAAATACAAGTATCTTCCAAATATCTTTTGGGATTTCCTGCTTTTCTAGCTTCTTATATATGAACAATCACTAAGTTCTTCAATGTCAGATTTTATTTATCTCTTGAATATGCCAGGTTCTCCCCATTTTATTGTTATGATTTTAGTCCAAGAAATACTCTCCTTACTGGTCTCTCCTAAACATCTTATACATACTTTCTTCACATTATAGCCAAGAGTAATTTAAAAAATGTAAATATGGTATCACTCCTAAAACAACTTTGCCTTCCTTTAGGACAAAGACTCACCAGGACTTCTGCTATAATTCCCACCTATATGTTCAATCAAGTTTATACTATCCTAGCCCCTACTCACCCCTTACTCCAGTGCACTGATCTTCTTCCAGAATCTTGAACATGTCATTCATTCTTTCTCTGCCTTTAGGGCTTTTGCATATGTTTTGTTGTTTTTCCCAATGTATTATAACTCAAAATAGTCACTGCCTTAAGGAAGCCTTCCCTAATTTCTCAGCTTAAACTAGGATCACTTCCTCTGCCTTAAACTTTGTGTACCTTCTCTTTAGTGCACACACCACAAGTGTAATTTACTGCTCAGGTTTGGGTTTCATTTTGGATTCCCCTGTGTAAGCTTGTAAACTCCATGACAGCCAGGAGTATATGAAGATCCCTAGCACTTAGTCCTAAGCCTTGCAAATAGGGGACTCTTTGAGGGCCAGAGGAGGGTAGATCAGTGTACATACATGCTTATAAAGTGTGGCAAGCTTGGGTTCAATCCTGAGTATCACCACAAAAAAAAGTAGATACTTTTAAAACTACTTACAATTTTATCTAATATTATTCACTGTTGATTATCTAATTAGCATCTTAGCTCTGACTTTCCCCCAAACTCATGTAATAATCTACTCAGACTCTTCACCTGAATATTTAATAGGCAGATCAAATTTAACATTTCCAAAACCTCTCCATTACCAACCCCACCCCTAACTCTTCCCTTCCCATATTGGTCTTGTTAACAAACATGACAACCATTCACCCAGATTCTCAGGTCAAAATGGTGACTTAAGTCATTCATCCTTGATTCTGTTCCTTTGCTTCCCACATCCAAAACCAGTCCTTCAAATTGTATGTCCTAAATATACACTACTACCCTTGTCCGAGTCTCTATCTTCCTGCATCTGGCCTCCTAACTTGGTCTCCTCACTTCTAATTCTGACTGCCCTCATCCACACAGGGCAGAATGTGCTCTTATACACATGCCCCAGGGCTCTGCAAGGGTAGGGTTGGGTCCATCTGATCCATGTGTGTATATGCCCAGTGGCTAGCAAACTGAGGAGACAAACAATAATAAGTGACTGATTTTTAAAACGTAGATTCCTAGGCTTTGTTCCTGGAAATTCTGACCCTGCATTTCTTAATCATCTACAGGTAACTGATGATGAATCCACCAGGCAACCCAGATCTCTCTTCTTGGAGATACTTCACAGCTGGCCTGTGAGCTCTCAGTGGGATCCCTGCCTCCTCAATGTACACAGAGACCTCTGAATTGTCTCTAAGACTTGGAAGAAATGAGGAGCAAAGCCCCACCTGGAAACACTAGGAAAGCCAACTTGAGATGGTAAACTTTTAGTGAAGATACAATACATCCGCTTACCAGCTTTACTGGCCCACAATCATAATGCAGTAGCCTGAATTGGTAAGGAGGGATTAAATACATACAATTCTTAATTTACTAAGCTACCAGAAGCTAAAATAGTGATGACATTTAAAATTTAAGTTCATCTATGTCTAAATCTTCCACAAGGTCAAATGTGATTGGATTGTTTTCTCCTTCCTGTTGTTTTTACTCTGGGGGAAATGACTGAAATACAACCAGTGGAATGAAACAGGAATCCTCAGTCTCAAAGTTCAAAATAGTGTTCACCCTAAGGGTCCCACGCTTTCCTCCATGGAAACTGTTCTGGAATGCTATATTGAATCAGATTTGATTTAGTACATAAAGGATAAGGATTTCATGTGAACATGTCTTAATTAAAAAAAAAGAGAGAGAGAGAAAGAAAAGTTAGGGCTACCGCACTATATGAAGTTACCAAGAAGTTTATGGCAAATTGAATGTTCTAGCCATTAAGCAAGAAGGTCTTCCGGTCCTAAAATTCTCATAACTATGTTTGGTATTGTAAGAAGCAATGAAATCTCATACCCACTACAAATACTTTCATTCTTCCTTTATAACATGCTTGACTAAATTTTACTCATTCCAAATCTTTCTTCAAAATAAAAACCAATGGACAAGGTTTTAGTCATTTAATGTGATTTGTGGTCAAATTTTACATGTGGTTATACTTAAATGTACATTTCATCTGTAATAATGAAGTTTTTGTTTTGTTTTTCATGTCAGTATGTATTTAAATCATGGCTTCCTCCCTCTCCTTAATTCCTTTTCTGTCAGAAAACCCTTCAGAAGCAAGGAAGTATAGACAGATTAGAGAAGCGCCAATGATTAGATCTTGCCCATTTCACACTCTGGAGACATTTCCAAAAACACATTCCCATCATTCTGGAGACATACAAAGGTATCCTCTCTAACTTCCTCTTTTCCCTTACCTGAGGGGCTTGCTCTCTGGGCCCACATCTGTAAAGCCCATTTCCTCCAATTTGCAACGCCTGTAAAGCTCATAGTGCCTAGAGTGGGTCTGCTCCCGAAGGTCCTCCATATTTGTACAAATGAGCATTTCCCGCAGCTTTACAAAGTCACAGTGGTTTTCATTTTCCACTAGCCAGAAAAAAAATAAGAGAAAAGCAAGGCCAGTTTTTAATTCCTGCCACATCATTAGTGCATGTCAAATGAACAGATAAATAAAAACACATAAAATAACAAATAGCAAAATGATTAATAGGATTAATAGCTACAGTTAGCTTATACAAGCTACCAAGGAAGAAACTCTTGCATTACATACTGCACTGTAGGCAATACATTGCATTATAGGCACTGTTAATTAACAAAGTGTGAAAGTTGCTCTAATCTAGTAGCCAAACAAAAAGAGGAAATAGCAAAAAAAATCTTTTATTATATTACTACATGCTAGAGTTATTTCATTAATGTTTTGTTAGTAGTTTACACACCATAGCCAGGACACTTATTAGTGCTTTATAAAGAATACATAACATTATTCTACTTCAAAGTAGTAAATTCTACAAACTTAAAAACACCATCTGTGCATGCTATAATTATGACATTCTTGTTCTATAATATAGCATTTATAAACCTGTGTTAGACATTATTCAGAATTAGGGAATACACTTACATGGTCCCTTTTGAGGCAGGCTAGCAACAGGAAAAAAACCCACCATGAGACTCCCTTCTCGTAAGCAAACAGATATCCCCATGAAAGACTTTTTGCACCACCCTGAGCTATCTCTAGAGCAATAAACCCCCTCTAAGTTGTAAATACTCTGACAGTCATAAATATCTTTGCAAGATAGTGTCCAAAGGGGTGCCTCTAAGACAGGATTGCCTAGTAAGAGGGAGACCTGCACCCAGTTTGACCTCTCAGACAAAGTCCTCTACTTAAGACCTTATGAATATTGGTCACATCTCATACATACAACTAAAGGCCTAAAATTAGCATAAGCACATGTGCAGATATCCCATGTTATGTGATAAGGCTATGTTAATTAAACCTGCCAGCCATCCTAGCCCCTTCCTAAGGACTGTTCAGATTTTCCCCACCTTACAAATGATAAATTGATCTTTAAACAAAGAAATCAATGTTTCTGTGCCACCTGACAGGAGTCCACTGGTTTTTCTCTTGTGGTGCTTCATCTTACTCGTTCTTCCCTTTCTTTCAATAAAGTTTTGCTACTTTTTTGCAACTTGTGTCTCTGTCCAGTTCTCTGTTCAGATGAAGTAAGAACTTGGGATCTTCTGGACTAGTGTCTTCTTAGAGTACTCAGTCTGATAACACTTTTATGTTTATGGTTACCAGAGAACTACAGATAAATACATTTTGTTTGTTTATTTATTTATTTGAAACAGGATCTTGCTATGTTGCCCAGACTGCCCTCCTGCATCAGCCTCTTGAGTAGCTGGGATGAGAGGCATGCCAACCTCAGCTCTAACTGTGTATTTTTAATAAGCTTAAAATGCTAAATTTTCTCCTTATTTTACATTTTGTAAAGAAATTTGTCAGCTGGGCATTGCTATAATTCTAGCATCAGGAAGCTGAGGTGGAAGGATCAAAAGTTCTAGGTCAACATGGGGTACATAGACCCTCAATAAAAACAACAAAAAAAGTCAATTTAATAAAAACAACACTTGGAAACTAGTGATGGTAGGTATAATCTATTCCCCATTAATTACCATAAAAAATAAGGCCAGGCGTGGTGGCTTGTGCCTGTAATTCCCCCAAAACCAAACCAAACCAAATGAACAAACAAAAAGAAGCAGATAGTACTAATTATTTACTTACTATAATGCCAAATAAATAATCTAATATCACATAGATTTAACTTTTTTAAGTGACTGAGTCATTTTGGAAATAGTTTGTCAATACTTTGATTAGAAAAAAATGTATCATGCCTAAACAATACTTTATGCATTCAAATTTTGATTGAGGACAGGTGGTAGAGAGGTACAGGACTTGATGGACATGCCTAAGGCCATTGGTTGGATCCCCAGCACCAAACAAATAAACAAACAGACAAAAAACAAGAAAAAAATTTAAATTTTGATCAAAGCATGCATAGCCAGTGCTTCTCACCAGAATGGGGTGACTGTCTAGACTCTATAACTTTGGCTGACACAGTACACAGCAAACTCCTTTGATAAACACTCATAATATAAAATAAGCACCACCTCAAAGAATGTATTAAGTGCAACTCTGAAATTACTAGGTAATATACATATTTCCACCAGTTATTTCACTTACCCTGTACAATACCCCAAGGGTACTGGCGAACTTTGACCATCTTATTTCCAACTTTTACCTCATCCATACTTCCTACAACAGCAAATGGCAAATGTCCCTGAAAGGGAATAATATAAATTTCATCTTCTCATACCAATGTGATAACTGAGTAGCTAAAAAATTATGAAAATAATAGGAAGTGATTTATTATATATCTATTAAAATCAAATGGCTGTTATGACTCAGACTTTAAAACTTGGCTTTGGAACCTGACTAAAATGAGGAGAGAAAAAACCAAAATTAGTAGAATTAGGAATGCAAAAGGGGAGATAACAACAAACACCATGGAAGTCCAGGAAATCATCAGACACTACTTTGAGAACCTATATTCAAATAAATTTGAAAATCTAAAAGAAATTGACAGATTTCTAGATACATATGATTATCCAAAACTGAACCAAGAGGAAATTAATCACCTGAATAGACCTATAACACAAAATGAAATTGAAGCAGCAATCAAGAGTCTCCCCAAAAAGAAAAGTCCAACCTGATGGATTCTCTGCTGAATTCTATCAGACCTTTAAAGAAGAACTGATACCAACCCTCCTTAAACTGTTCCACGAAATAAAAAAGGGGAGGAAAACTGCCAAACACATTTTATGAAGCCAGTATTACACTTATCCCAAAACTTGCCAAAGACACCTCCAAAAAGGAGAACTATAGGCCAATCTCCTTAATGAACATTGATGCAAAAATCCTCAACAAAATAATGCAAACCGAATTCAGCAACACATCAAAAGATTATTCACCATGACCAAGTAGGCTTCATCCCAGGGATGCAGGGTGGTTCAACATATGAAATCATAAATGTAATAAACCACATTAACAGAAGCAAAGACAAAAACCACTTGATCATCTCATAGATGCAAAAAGCCTTTGATAAGATCCAACACCATTTCATGATAAAAGCTCTAAGAAACTAGGAATAGAAGGAAAGTTCCTCAACATTATAAAAGCTATATATGACAAACCTACAGCCAGCATTTACTTAACGGAGAAAAATTAAACACCTTCCTCTAAAATCAGGAACCAGACAAGGATGCCCACTATCTCCACTCCTATTCAACATAGTACTGGAATTCCTAGCCAGCGCAATTAGGCAAGAAGAAGGAATAAAAGGAATACAAATAGGTAAAGAAACTGTCAAAATATCCCTATTTGCAGACGACATGATCCATACCTTAAAGACCCAAAAAACTCTACTCAGAAGCTTCTAGACATCATCAATAGCTATAGCAAGGTAGCAGGATATAAATCAACATAGAAAAATCATTAGCATTCTATCACTAACAATGAGCAAACGGAAAAAGAATGTATGAAAACAATTCCATTTACAATAGCCTCAAAAAAAATCAAATACCTAGGTGTTAACCTAACAAAAGATGTGAGACCTCTACAAGGAAAACTATACACTTCTGAAGAAAGAGATTGAGGAAGACTATAGAAAGTGGAGAGATCTCCCATGCTCATTGGATTGGTAGAATCAACATAGTAAAAATGTCTATACTCCCAAAAGTAATCTACATGTTAATGCAATTCCATCAAAATTCCAATGACATTCATCAAGAGATTGAAAATCTACTGTTAAATTTATATGGAAACACAAGGGCCACGAATAGCCAAGGCAATACTCAGTCAAAAGAACAATGCAGGAGGTATCACAATACCTGCGACTTCAAACTATATTACAAAGCAATAATAATAAAAACAGCATGGTACGGCACAAAACAGACATGAAGAACAGACGGAACAGAATAGAGGATCCAGATTGAAGCCACACAACTATAAGCAACTTATCTTTGAAAGGAGCTAAAAATATACGATGGAGAAATAGCAGCCTCTTCAACAAAAACTGCTGGGAAAACTGGTTAGCAGTCTGCAAAAAAACTGAAACTAGATCCATGTATATCACCCTATACCAAGATTAACTCAAAATGGATCAAGGATCTGAATATCAGACCCCAAACTCTTAAGTTGATACAAGAAAGAGTAGGAAATACTCTGGAGTAGTAGGTATAGGTAGACTTCTCAATGAAACCCCAGCAGCACAGCAACTAGAGATAGCATAGATAATGGGACCTCATAAAACTAAAAAGCTTCTGTCATTCAAAAGAAATGGTCTCTAAATGAAGAGAACACCCACAGAGTGGAGAAATATTTGCCAACTATACAAAGACAAAGGATGATAACCAGAATATACAGGGAACTTCAAAAAACTAAATCTCTCCCAAAACTAATGAACCAATAAAGAAATGGGCAAGTGAACTAAACAGAATTTCTCAAAGAAGAAATTCAAATGGCCAGAAACACATGAAAAAATGCTCACCATCTCTAGCAATAAAGGAAATGCAAATTAAAACCACACTAAGATTCCACCTCACCCCTGTTAGAATAGCCATCATCAGCAACACCACCAACAACAGGTGTTGGCGAGGATGCGGGGAAAAAGGACCCTCTTACACTGTTGTGGAATGTAGACTAGTACAACCACTCTGCGAAAAAAATTTGGGGTACTTAAAAGCTGGACATCGATCTACCATTTGATCCAGCAATACCACTCTTGGGGATATACCCAAAAGACTGTGACTTCAGAGGCACAATGCACATCCATGTTTATTGCAGCACTATTCACAATAGCCAAGTTATGGAAACAGCCAAGATGCCCCCAGCACTGATGAATGGATTAAGAAATGTGGTATCTATACCAATGGAATTTTATGCAAGCCATGAAGAAGACGAAATGTTATCATTTGCTGGTAAATGGATGGAATTGAGAACCTCATTCTGAGTGAGGTTAGCCTGGCTCAAAAGACCAAAATCGTATGTTCTCCCTCATATGTGGATATTTAGATCAGGGGATTGGACTATGAGACACGATAAAACGCGAGAGCACACAAGGGAGGGGTGAAGGATAGGTAAGACACCTAAAAAACTAGCTAGCATTTGTTGCCCTTACGCAGAGAAATTAAGCAGATACCTTAAAGCAACTGAGGCCAATAGGAAAAGGGGAACAGGTACTAGAGAAAAGGTTAGATCAAAAGAATAACCTAGAAGGGTAACACCCACGCACAGAAATCAATGTGAGTCAATTGCCCTGTATAGCTATCCTTGTCTCAACCAGCAAAAACCCTTCTTCCTTCCTATTATTGCTTATACTCTCTCTACAACAAAATTAGAAATAAGGGCAAAATAGTTTCTGCTGGGTATTGAGGCAGGGAAAGAGGGAGGGGGCGGAGTGGGTGGTAAGGGAGGGGGTGGGGGCAGGGGGGAGAAATGAACCAAGCCTTGTATGCACATATGAATAATAAAAGAAAAATGAAAAAAAAAACTTGGCTTTGGATATGTACCACTGTTCTACAAGAGAGCCATTTTTGGAATCCTATGAAGGAAATTATTTACTGAGGATCTCCCCCAAGCAAGGCATTATGATATTGGGAGTATTTTTTTAAAAAGAAAGAAAGAAAGAAAGAAAAAAGGAATTTTAGGTATATGGGTCATTTTCATCAATATTATCTTTGCCCTGAATATAATGTTGAAGAAATCACAGAGATTACAAAGTAGGTACAATGAAACTATATATCTGCATTTAATGTTGTGTATCAATATACGGTATTAATAAAAAATAATACATAAAGTTCCAAATTGATGCTAGTATGGTAAATGCTATAGAAACTGAGAGGAGCAAGAGATTACTGGGAGCAGGGACATACAATCCAAGCTAGATTAGGAAGGATGGGCATAGGGAAGGATATTCTGAGCCAAATGCAGGGCCTTGAAGTAAATAAATCTGTGTAAAGCTGAGGATTGATATAGGGGAAAAGTCTAACTAAAATAGTATTATGCTTACTATTTAGTAATAGACACTACATTCTAAATTGTGCCTGTTTGAAAAATTATTCCTGGAAAGTATAAAAAATAAAACTAAACAAAGACAATTTAACACTTAAGAATCAAGCTCATTTTATATTATTAGCGTTTCATAGATTTAGTTTAGGTTTTCTAATATAAATGGGGTATGAAAAAATCAGAAATAGTAAAGGGAAAATAGGGGATGAACAGTTACTGAATGGCACTTAACCATGAGTATATCATTTAATTCTCACAATAATCCTTAAGATAGGTACTATTAATTTAATTCTATAGATGTTAACCATTTTGGGGAGAATAATAACCCCCACAGAACATATGGTTAAGTCTTTGAGTCTCAAACCCATGATCATTCAAAATACAACCAGATATTTAAGAAAGTTTTGAAGAAAGTAAAATAAGGAACTCAATCATTTTAGTTACAATAAATGAAAAGTGAGAAAAATGTTTCAAATGCACGTGATATATTGTAAGGAGGAAGAGTGTGGAAACCAGCTTTGAGAGATCTTGAAGACACATGATTCTAAAGCATTCCAAGAGAGGTTGTACAATCTTCTTGCATGTTTAAAATAGGAAAGAAAGGCATCTTCCTAAGGCAATTAAATATGACTTCACAAAAGGTATATCCCAGTCTCACAAATGTATGACTTTATTCAGGTGAAGGCAGAGAAGATAGAAAATATACATAAAAATACATTCTTATTATCCTATTTCCAACTTAAAAATTTTTATTTTCCTACTGCACTTTTTGACATTTTACCAAATTTGAAGTCTTTTTGGGAAATACAAGTGAAAATACATCACAGTGGTCCTCTTTACCCAGAGGTGATGGGTAGGGTATGTTCCAAGATTCCCAGTGGATGTCTAAAACTGTGTGTAGTGTGCAACCCTAAAGATACTATGCTTTATGCTGTATACATATGCCTATGACAGTTTTACTTTATAAAGCAGGCACAGGAAGCGATGAGCAACAATAATAATAAAGTGGAACAATTATAACAATAGACTGTAATGAAAGTTACATGAATGTGGTCTTTCTCTCAATATCTAATACTGTATTATACTTACCATCCTTTTTGTTTTGCCAGTACAATGCCTATATGATGCTATTTCATCGTGTTATCAGAATGGCATAAATTTAAAATATAAATTATTTCTATAATTTCCCATTTAATATTTTCAGTCTATGACTGACTATGGGTAACTAAACCTTCAGGAAGCAAAGCCTCAGATAAGGGACCTAAGTGGCAACAATTCTAATCAGACTTCAGCTTTATTTTCACCAGTAGAACAGACTTATGTTCAATGAGGAGCTTACATTCATTGCAGCATTGATCTTAGCAGTAGCGTCATCATCTGTTGGGAACTGGTATATCTGGACACCACTGCACACCAATTCACTCATGAGCTTGATCTTAAACTTCTGTAACTCAATTTTAGAAATTGTATCTGCTTTGGCAATCAGTGGTATAATGTTCACCTATTAAGAAGAAAGAAAACCATATTCTTATCACTGAGGATTTATTTTTTAATTCTGTGATTTTTTTTTCACCCAAAACCATTCAGACTCTGAAAACAAATTTCTTTATCCTAGATCAGGGATTAGCAAATTATGGTCCAGCTTGCTACATGCTTTTATAAATAAAGATTTATTGGAACACTACCATGCCCATTCATTTAGTTTGCTTTCCCATTAAAACATCCAAAGTGAGTAGTCTGTCATAGAGAACATAAGGTCTTAAAGCCTAAATGACTACCTGGTCCTTTACAGAAAAAGTATGCAGAGCTCTGACCAAGATAATCATTGGTCATACCCCTTATACAATTATTCCTATGACAGCAGTCTTATAATAATTGTTTTTAAAAAGCAGGTATCTTGTAAGATTAATATTCATTTAGATTTAGATTTAGAATCTCACATTTTCTTCTCTCCTCCATCAAAGTCTCTCTTTATTCCAGGCTGTACACAAATAAAGTAAATTTATAAACAAGCAATCATATCACTGCTTACTCTTATTCTTAATACTGGTACACAATAAGTATTAGATTAATTGGGCGTCTCAGAAAACAAAACAGTGACATCTCTCTTTAGGCTCTCATTTATCCCTGCCTAGTCTGCCATGTTATCAGAGACTCCCACCTTAGGATGGCAAAGCGGAAGATTGCCAATACTAATCGAGTGTTCACAGTGCAACCAACAGTTTCCTCAGTATTAACTCAAGTCTACACTGCCAGAAAGGAGATATTTTAGGTTATTACAGACTTAACTTAAAGTCTAGTGTCCATAAGAATTTATGTAGCCACAAAACAGTATTATGTCTCCATAAAAATGTATTTAGTTGTTTGCTTTTAATTCAAAAATCCCAGATAACCAGATACATGTTTATAATTATATTATACCTAGAGAAGGTCACGTTAGAATGAATCAACGTAGGAATGTAACACCTTTATCATGGAAGAAAGCAGCATCTCCCTGTAAGCTATCCTTATTCTCAACTAGCAAAAATGCTCTTGCTTTCTTTATTTTGGTTATTACTCTCTCTTCCAAACTATATTAAAGATGAGGGGCCAGAACAGATTCTGCCTGAAAGCAAGGTGTAGGGAGGATAGGAGGGAAGGGGTGGGGGTACGGGGGGAGAAATGCCCAAACTCTGTTATGCACATGTGAATACATGTGAAAAAAAAAGAATATATAAGTATTCTCAGAATAAAGTAAATAAAAATCACATTCCCACTGTATCTTAATTTTTTTGAATTTCTCCAATTTCAAACAGAGTGCTATATTTTGGATTATTCGTCTTCCATATGCTCAAAAGTAAATAAAGATTTTCCTATCTATGACTTTAATGGCAGAAAATTTTCCACAATTGTGAGTAAAACCGGTTTCATGTTAGATTAGTCAAAAGACA